GACTTCATCTCGAGTCCATCCCATTTCAAGTTGATTATACTGTTGTTGTGTTATTGGACAAACCGTTGTGTCTAATCTATCTTGATATTTACTGTAAAGTATTTCTCCTTGAAAATCAAATGTTGCTGATGAAGATGATTGTGATCCAGTATATTGAATCGTTATCCTGTTGGAAACTCTGCCTCCATATTGTGAAATGGCGTTTCCTTGAGAACCAATGAGTTGTGTTACTTGATCTCGAGTCCATCCGATTTGAATTGTTGAATATTGTTGTTGAGTTATTTGATAAACCGTTGTGTCTAAACCATTTTGAGATTTACTGTAAAGTATTTCTCCTTGAAAACCAAATGTTGCTGATGAAGATGATTTTGATCCAGTATATTGAATCGTTGTCCAGTTTCCACTTTCAGATCCATATTGTGAAATAACATTTCCTTGAGAACCAACGAGTTGTGTTACTTGATCTGGTGTCCATCCAATTTCAACTTTTGAATATTGTTGAAGTGTAATTGAATAGAGAATCGAATCCGCATTTGAATGAGATACGAAAGTTGTGCAAATAACGAAAGCAAATGTGTAGAATGAGCACATTTTTGCGAAGAACGTTATAAAAACTGTCAGTAGTTGCGTTTTGCGAGAATACTTTTTATGATTTTGATTATGATCACAGAAAATGAGTAATACAAAAAAGGAAATGATGTTCCACATATTGAGAAAAAGGTTCCGATCACATAATCATGGTTTTCAGTCAACCATAACCGAGAAAGTACGTTTGTGTTTAAAGAAGCAAATATTTATACGAAACGAAGAAAAACTTTTGAAAGAGAATCGTAAGAAAAAGAATCTCCAGTTGTGAGAACGAGCCTATCTGACGCAGAATTTGATGCTGCATCAAATAATGGTACTTTTCATTACGGGGAACGATCAGGAAATATCACATGAATTTCTTCGTTTATACAGGTACACATAAGAAGATCTACATAAACTTTTTTCTATTTTTTTAAAATTTTTGGCACTAGATTTACATGGAAAGTGTGACTTATGTGGCTCTAATCGAAAATATTTTGGATCGAGAACTATGTGGTGTGATGTATAATGTACAAACGATCCTTCGAGAAGAACATTGACATCTGACGAGAACTCACCGTGTAGATCAACGAAGTGAATTTTTTATTACGACGAAAACAAACTTGTCGAAGATTTTTCGTGTTTTACAAGGAAGAAACCGAAAGAAAAAGAGAAAAATGCATTAAAACTTTTTTTTTGGGAAACCAAAATTTTGGTCCGAATTTATTATTCAACGTGATTAATTAGTTATTAATTATCAGTTTCATAGTGCGGATCAGTATGAATGTCGAAAGATAATATTACATAAATTGACGTAGTATTGAAAACATTTTCTTCTTTGCTATACTATAAACACTTGTCTAAAATACTGTTGCAGTATTTTTAATTATTAATTAAAAGGTATACTTCACTTCACTCCAAAACACTTTAGAAAGTATGTATAGGTAACTCATATCTATTAATCTATCTTGATCTATGGAATGAGTAAATGTAGTTTTCATTCATTAATTTATTTAAATTTCCTCGAATATCTCTGAACAAATAAATAAATAGCTGGATTAAGTTTAAATACGTTGACTTCTGAAGAAAAATGAGACAAGAAGAAAATCTATAGTGTACTGATTCGATTGTTCGACAGTTCTCAATGATTTCTGTAGCTTTTAGTTTCTTTCGTCACCCTGTTGCGAATGTGAACTATGCCACAGTGCTCAGCACTATGCAACTGATAATTGATAACTAATTAGTTACGTTTAATAATAATTTCCGGCCGAAATTCCTGTAGGCCGTTTTTTTCCCAACATAGAATTGAGTATTAATTTTTTTCTGAGAAATAAATTGTTAATCATGCGAGAAGACAAATAATGAATGCAAAAACATCAAATCCATACAATTTTGACCTTCGTTTTACTGTGCATCCGAGGACTACAGGTATAGTTATATTAACTGCCACATTGCGTAGGAACATTTGTTTTACGACTTTAAAACAATGATATCGAGAGCATTTTCATCTGAACAAAATCACGCGTGTTTCTTCTTGATGAAATAGTTTTGTTAAGTTTTCTTAATAAAAAATATGAATATTTAGGATTCAATTATAAGAAATCGCAAAAGTCAAATGAGCCGAGAAAATCAAAATCTTATTTGAAATCGATTTCAAATTTGTTCTTCAGTTTTCCACCATAAAATCCCATATGAACTTCCAACTGATTGATATTGGATAGTAACAATAGTTGTATTACCTGTTCCACCTTCACTAGTGATGCTTTCTGCACTACCTACTGAATTTGCCAGTTGATCTCGAGTCCATCCAATTTGTATTGTTGAAGATTAATCAAATAGGCAATTGAACCAGCATTACAATGAAATACGAGAGCCGTGCAAATGACGAACACAAATGTCTAGAATGAGAACATTCTTGTGAACAATCTCACAAAGTTTCTCCGTATTTATATTTTCCTCAAGTAAAAAATTCGTAAGAATGTTTCTTTTTCATGCTTTTGATTCTGATTAAAGGTGAATATGAAAGGGAAAGGATGCCTTACATATTGAAAACAAAACGTTCAACGACATTATAACACATATTCATATTTTTCAATCAACGATAGCCGAGAAAAAATATTTTTTATTAAGGAAGCAAATCGTTATACATAGCGAAGACAACATCAAGAGTGTAATTTATATATCGGCGATGGAGTCATTAGGTTTTTGTAGGCTCGATCTTAAACAAAAGGTTCTACGCGCTGAGAAATAGTGCACAATTAAAGCATTTATGGGCATTTTCATTCCTCCGTCCGTCTGTATTTATCAAGATGTTGATTGAATTCTACTCGTATATTCCGGTGTTGGATATGTTTTTAGACTTACATTTACGTGTCTATCATCTCACAAATTGGAGTTTTTTTCAAAAGAGAACACAGTAAATGTGCTTATATAGAAATATTTGTTAAAGTTTTCTATTTAAAAGTACATATAGTTCTTTCATAGAACAGTTAGATTTAACAAAACTTACATGGAAATTCGAATTTTATGGAAGTATCATATTTTAAAAAATATCATTGACAATTATTTAACCTTTATCTTGAAGGTTTGACCAATAGATTCAAGAGTTTTAGGTTGTTTTTGCTGAACTGGAAACGAAGTTCAATGTTAAAATGTTTTTCTCGGAATTTTGTCTTTTGTTGGAAAATACGAAATAATTTGCAATTAGTTCAAGATATACAACAAGATTATACTTTTGTCGTCTTTTTCTTTTGCGAAAGAAAGAAGAAATGTAATTCAATTTAAATTACGATGTTTCTACTCGTTCTATGGTGATCGATATTGAACAGATTGAAGCAGAATTTTCGATTCCTGCTCAAATAAATCGGAATTCATTAACATTTGACTAACAATAGTTAGAAAGTGTATCCAAAGGTACAATATAATCACTGAAAATTGAATTTATTATTCGAAATGGGTATGAAATATTTCCCACAGAAGTTTCTCATTACTACTACTTATCAGTGATGATTTCCATTCAATCAAAGTATACGCTTTAAGTGGAAGATTTCATTCTCAATGGATCGAAATTTTAGAGAAATTTTTCAACCTCTGATACTTCAGATGTCAAGACATATTTTCAAATTGAGTTGACATGAAGAAAATATTTGGTATTATTTATTAAATTCTTTCAGGAAAATTCGTTCAGAGTGTGAAGACATTATTCTTATACTGTGTAGCAAATCGAATGTCACATTCGAATATGTTTTATCATAAAAGAAAAGAGTTGCACAAGATTTATCGAATTCTGTTTCGAAGAAAATAAGGAAAATCCAATTAAACTTCTTTCTATTTTAATATGGAATGTGAGTTTTGAAATCGAATGTCGTTTCTTCATTTCTCTTTGTTTCAAATATGATATTCATCATTTGTATCAACAAAGAAACAATTAAATATCAATGTCATCGTTTATCTTAAGATTCAAAGAACTTATTTCGAATTTACCAGAAGTTGGAAACTGTTAAAAGAAAAATAGAAGATCGATGTTTTCTTCACCAAAAGTATGAAGGAAAAAGAAAATGAGAAAATCAAAGTCTTATTTGAAACCATATTCAGATCTACTGTTAAGTTTTCCCCCATAAAATCCCAGAGAAACTCTCCCATATGAACTCCCAGCCACTTGATATTGAACACCAATATTCGTTGTATTACCTGTTCCCGATTCCGAAGTAACAATTCCTGGATTACCAACTAAGTTTGTTACTTCATCTCGAGTCCATCCGATTTCAATTTGATTATATTGTTGTTGTGTTATTGGACAAACTGTTGTGTCTAATCCATATTGAGATTTACTGGAAAGTATCGATCCTTGAAAAGTAAATGTTGCTGACGATGATGATGATTGTGATCCAGTATATTGAACCGTTGTGAATTCATTTGGTGAACCCACCGTTCCTGATTGTGACGTAATGATTCCTTGAGAACCAATGTGTTGTACAACTTTTTCTTGAGTCCATCCAATTTGAATTGATGTATATTGTTGAAGATTAATTGTATTCGAATTTAAAAAATAACCATTTCCACTTTTTGATGATAATGTTTCATTAAAAAAATAGAGATCAGCAGTACCATAATTATTTCCAGGTGCGCTATATTCAACTGTGACATAATTTGTACTTCCACTTACAGATTCTGAAATGACCCTTCCTTGACTTCCAACAAAATTTGTGATTTGATTTCGTGTCCATCCAATTTGTATAGAGAGAAATTGTTGTTGATTCATTGTATAAACTCGTGAATCTATTCCATTTTGACTTTTACTGGAAAGTTTTCCTCCTTGGAAATTAAATTCCACCGATGGAAACGATGATTCTGATCCAGTATATTCAATCGTTGTGAATTGATTTGATAAATCTTGTGNAGAAAACTCGATGTTTTCTTCACCAAAAGTATGAAGAGAAAAAACTAAATGAAGGGAAAAGAAGATGAGAAAATCAAAGTCTTATTTGAAACCATATTCAGATCTACTGCGAAGTTTTCCACCCTCAAATCCCAGAGAAACACTCCCAGATGATTTTCCGTCTGGTTGATATTGAACATTAATATTCGTTGTATTACCTGTTCCCGATTCCGAAGTAACAATTCCTGGATTACCAACTAAATTTGTGACTTCGTCTCGAGTCCATCCGATTACAAGTTGATTATATTGTTGTTGAGTTATTGGACAAACTGTTGTATCTAATCCATTTTGAGATTTCCTGTAAAGTTTTGATCCTTGAAAATAAAATGTTGCTGATGAAGAAGATGATTGTGATCCAGTATATTGAATAGTTGTCAATTCATTTGGTGAACCCACCGTTCCTGATTGTGAGATGAGATTTCCTGAACCACCAAGAAGTTGTACAACTTGTTGTTGAGTCCATCCAATTTGAATTGATGTATATTGTTGAAGATTAATTGTATTCGAATTTAAAAAGTAACCATTTCCAGTTTTTGATGATAATGTTTCATTAACAAAATTGAGATCAGCACTACCATAAATATTTCCAGGTGCCGTATATCGAAGTGTGGTATAATTTGCACTTCCACTTACATATTCTGAAATGACCCTTCCTTGACTTCCAACAAAATTTGTGATTTGATTTCGTGTCCATCCAATTTGTATAGAGAGAAATTGTTGTTGAGTCATCGTATAAACTCGTGGATCTATTTCATATTGATCCTTCCTGTAAAGTTTTCCTCCTTGGAAATTAAATGCTATCGATGGAAACGATGATTGTGATCCACTATATTGAATTGTTGTGAATTGACTTGATAAATCTTGTGTTCCACTTTGAGATATAATTGTACCAGGACATCCGAGAAATTGTATAACATGTTGTTGAGTCCATCCGACTTGAACGATCGAAAACTGTTGAAAACTGATTTTATTATTGACAATTGATGCAAATCCATATCCATATTTAATGTTAAGTTTTCCCCCCAAAAATCCCAGAGAAACTCTCCCATATGAACTTCCAGCCACTTGATATTGAACAGCAATATTCGTTGTATTACCTGTTCCTGATTCCGAAGTAACAATTCCTGGATTACCAACTAAATTTGTGACTTCGTCTCGAGTCCATCCCATTTCAAGTTGATTATACTGTTGTTGAGTTATTTGACAAACTGTTGTGTCTAATCCGTTTTGAGATTTACTGGAAAGTATCGATCCTTGAAAATAAAATGTCGCTGACGAAGATGATTGTGATCCAGTATATTGAAGTGTTGTCGTGTTGGGACCTCCATATCCAGATTGTGAAATAACATTTCCTTGAGAACCAATGAGTTGCGTTACTTGATCTTGAGTCCATCCAATTTCAACTTTTGAATATTGTTGAAGAGTAATTGAATAGACAATCGAATCGGCATCCGAATGAGATACGAAAGTTGTGCAAATAACAAAGGCAAATGTGTAGAATGAGAACATTTTTGCGAAGAATGTTAAAGAAAGCTGTCAGTATTTGTATTTCACGAGGATAGTTTTTTTATGATTTTGATTATGATCGAAGAAAATGACGTTTCACATATTGAGAAAAATACTTTCGATCACATAATCATGGTTTTCAATGAACCGTAACCGGGAAAGTACGTTTGGTTAAAAAAGAAAATATGTATACGAAACGAAGAACATATCGAATCGATGTGAAAATAATAACAAAAGCTTTTCAAAACTCGTACGAAAAAGAATTTCCGTTTATGCATATATGAGATAAGAAGATGTCACCCAACTTTTTGCCTATTTTAGAAAGTTGTGGTGCTATAGAGTCACATCGATGTGTGTTGTGATACAAATGATCGTAGACGAGAAACTTTGAGAATATTACTATCTGGGCAGAATTCATCGTCTAAATAAACCACGTGAATTTTTTTATTACGAGAGAATAAAGCTAACAAAGCTTTTTCGAGTTTTGCTACCCAGAGAGACAAAGCGTTCAAAAAAACGCGTAATTACGCGTGTTAAATTCGTAAAAACGGCGTTTTTACGCTTTTCTCCTCCGTTTTCTATAGTCCATTTCTCGACGAATTTTCTCGCAAAATATTACTTTCGTTAATTTGCGCATTTTTAGTCTAAACTGTACACTTGTACCCGTCAGAGTTTCAACGCGTTCAATACAATAAAAAACAATTTCGTTTCTCTCAGTTGGTTCTCACAATATGATCCGTATTCATGAGTTCAGCCAGAAATTCGTTTACCGTCGTTAGAAAACATTTCGTTTCTCTAGAGAATTCGTATTCTTTATTCGGTCGAATAGGTCATTATGAATTTACAATATTATTATGTGTATTATAATCATAAAAAGCGAAAAGTGATTACACTCACGAACAAAATGAATACCTTGTTCTCATAATAAACTCATGGGAATGAGCGTTCAACCGTAATGCTCGATAGAGCATATATTCTAACAGATGTGATAAAGTAGTTCGATTAAAACAACAAAGAATAAATGTTAAGCATCGATACCAATTACTTGGGAATCAGCAAAGTCACAAATATTCCAACAAACTCACGTCTTATTCGATTCAGAATGTTGTTTTGGACATTTATTAGTTGATGTGAATGTCCTTGCAGCCTGTCTGAAGCGTAGATTAATAAACATGAGTTCAGTAATTATACAGATCAAGCTTATACAGCATTTGTAGTCATATTCGGGATTGTATTCTCATCACCACCAAGATCACCAACAATCATTGCAGCTGCCCGTTTTTTCGACGAAACGCAATTTTTGTTTAATTTATTTTTCGACACATTTCAATGTTTAAAGATTAAAGTTCAAAGACCGAGAATCCCGAACTTACTGGCCAACCTAGTATCATGCGTATTTTCTCCGCTCGCAAATTAAATCGCTACTTTTACACTGATTTCACCAGAAACAACATTAGGTAGAAAAAACAAAAAATGTCCAAACTTTTCAGAAATTATTTTTAAAAACGAATACCTTCTGATACTGACAGCACGTGCGCATGTACGCCATCTATCGGCACATGGTTATATACTCATCATTTATTTTCCATAACAGTACACACTTATGCGGTACCCATGAGGGTAGATGTTTTTTCCGTATCTTTTTAGGATATTTGCCCATGGATGATTGATAAGCTGAGGATTTGTTCAAGACGAAAAGGTAATGTAGCGTAGCATATGCATAATAACGTTACCCATATTGGAAATGGGTAGACTGCATAAGCTTTGCTGTCTAGATGGATCGAACGTCAACCTTTGATCTTCATAGTCACGGATGCAACGAACATACTTTTATGAGTTGAAAACGTACGCTTTTCTTTTTTTTTATTTTCGCTAAAATTTCAACGTGTTTGTCGCCGTATTTTTTCTTTTTCTCTCTAGGAAGAGAAAGAAAGACAAAGAAAAAAGGCCAACGTGCCTTGGTTTTTGCCAACGTGAAAGACATTTTTAATATAAAACGTTCTATGCGACATCAATTGTCGACCACGCGAAAACATAATAGATGAGTTCAAAAACATCAAATCCATACGATTTACTTGGTGCTGGACCATCGTGCAATGATTTAGTCCTTCGTCTTGCATATGGTGCTCGATTTCATGATGGTAAACACNGTTGAAGATTAATTGTATTCGAATTTAAAAAATAATTACTTCCATATTTTGATGATAATGTTTCATTAACAAAACTCAGATCAGCAGTAGCATAAATGTTCCCAGGTGCGGTATATCGAAGTATGGTATAATTTGTACTTCCACTTACATATTCTGAAATGATACTTCCTTGACTTCCAACAAAATTTGTGATTTGATTTCGTGTCCATCCAATTTGTATAGAGAGAAATTGTTGTTGAGTCATTGTATAAACTCGTGAATCTATTCCATTTTGATACTTACTGTAAAGTTTTCCTCCTTGGAAATTAAATTCCACTGATGGAAACGATGATTGTGATCCAGTATATTGAATTGTTGTCCATTGATTTGATAAATCTTGTGTTCCACTTTGAGATGTAATTGTACCAGAACATCCGAGAAATTGTATAACATGTTGTTGAGTCCATCCGATTTGTACGATCGAAAATTGTTGAAAACTGATTTTATTATTGATAGTTGATGCAAATCTACTTTCGTATCTACTGTTAAGTTTTCCCTCATAAAATCCCAGATACACAACTCCAGATGAACTTCCAACCAGTTGATATTGAACATTAATATTCGTTGTATTACCTGTTCCCGTTTCCGAAGTAATAATTCCTGGATTACCAACTAAGTTTGTTACTTCATCTCGAGTCAATCCGATTGCAAGTTGATCATATTGTTGTTGAGTTATTTGACAAACTGTTGTGTCTAATCCATTTTGAGATTTACTGTAAAGTATCGATCCTTGAAAATAAAATGTCGCTGATGAATATGATTGTGATCCAGTATATTGAATTGTTGTCGTGTTGAAACCTTCATAACTAGATTGTGAGGTAATAATTCCTTGAGAACCAATGAGTTGTGTTACTTGATCTCGAGTCCATCCAATTTCAATTGTTGAATATTGTTGAAAGGTAATCAAATCTGCGTTAGAGTGAGATACGAAAGTTGTACAAATAACGAAGACAAATGTGTAGAATGAGAACATTTTTGCGAAGAACGTTGCAAAATTTGTTAGTACTTGTATTTTGTGAGGATATTTTTTCAATGATTTTTATTATGATGAAAGGAAGTGAGCAATACAAAAAGCAAACGACGTTTCGCATATTGAGAAAAAAAACTATCGATCACATAATCATGGTTTTCAGTGAACCGTAACCGGGAAAGTACATTTTGTTAAAAAAGAAAATATTTAGACGAGACGAAGAACATATCGAATCGATGTGAAAATAGCAACAAAAGCTTTTCAAAACTCGGACGAAAAAAGAATTTCCGTTTATACATGTATATGTTAGAAGATCTCAATAAATTTTTTGTCTATTTTAGAAACTTGTGGTGCTATAGAGTCACATCGATGTGTGTGTTGTGATATAAATGATCGTAGACGAGAAACTTTGAGAATATTACTATCTGGAGAGAATTCATCGTCTAAATAAACCACGTGAATTTTTTTTTATTACGATAGAAAAAAGTCTAGAAAAGCTTTTTCGAGTTTTGCTAGGAAGAGAAAGAAAGAAAAAGAAAAAAATCCAACGCGCCTTGGTTTTTGCCAACGTGAAAGAGATTTTTAATATAAAAAGTTTTGTGAGAGATCAATTGTCGATCACGTGAAAACATAATAGATGAGTTCAAAAACATCAAATCCATACGATTTACTTGGTGCTGAACCATCGTGCAATGATTTAGACCTTCGCCTTGCATATCGTGCTCGAATTCACGAATTAAAACAAGGTCAAATTTCCAACGATCGATTTCGACTTATTAGTCGTGCTTATGAAACATTATCAAACTATGATAAACGTCGAAATTATGATGAAAATCAAAGTTGGGTAAGTAATGTTCCCATAACAAAGTATACACTTCAACAATTAGCTGCTGAACCTGTTCTCGCATCACAATTGAAAAGTCGATTAAAAGATGCAACTCTCGCAGAAATTGATGCACAAGATCCAAATACAGGTCACACATCACTTTATTGCGCTGCACGTGCAGCAAATATCGATGCAGTGATTTATCTGACAGAGCAAGGCGCTGAACCAGATTTATCACAAAAACACGGCAGCACTGCTCTTCATGTCAGTTCTTTCTATGGACATCCGGAAATTGTGGAATGTTTATTGGAAAGTGGAGCAAATTATACAAAAGTCAATTCATTTAATAATCTTCCAGAAAAAGAATCAATGAATGATGAAGTTAGAAATACTTTTCTTCGTCTTCGAAAAGATCCGTTTGTTCAAACAGCTGCAAATCAACTTGATTGGTTAAAAAACAATCTTCATCAACTTTCAAGTCATATTGATGAACAATATCATCGACAATGTCAAATATTACTTCATTGTGCAGCGAAAAAGGGTTTTATCAATCTTGTTCAATGGTTAATCGATGACCAACAAGCAAATCTCGATCTGATCGATATAAATTTAAATTCTGCATTACATCTCGCATCATATGGTGGACATCGATCAGTTGTAGAATATCTTCTTCATCATGGTGCAAATCCTCTTCTCATTAATAAATGGGGAATGACAGCTGAACAAGTTTACTTTATCTTTCATGTCGTGCGAGACAATTTCTCGTTGCTAAATGGTTACTCGAACATGGAGCAAATGTCAATATTCAATTGATTATTAAATCACAGCGCAGATGTGAATATCAGAAATAGTTATGGAGAAACTGTCTTTGACAATGCTCAGTCAGATGAAATCAAATAATTTTTGAAAAAACATCGAGAGAATTTATTAGAAAATCGATTTATGAGTGTTTATCTCTTTGGAGATGGTCTTAGTTATGGAAATGAACCATTAGCTAAACTTCAGTTAACAACCGATGCAACACGTGATGATCTTCGAAAAGCGATGTCACAATCATTAAGAGATAAATTCAATAGTTATTCCATTGCTCGTCGTCCAATACGTTTTGATAAAGAAGATACAACACTTTTATCAGCATTTTGTCGAACAAGATATGGAAAAACAAAATTTGTAGAATTTCCACTTTGTATTACAATTCACGAATCACCGAGATATATGAATAGTGGACATACAATGACTGAACCAATTTCTTATTTAAGTTCTCGAGAATTCGATGGGAAATTTCGTTCATTATGTCAACGATCGACAATTCGTGTTATTGGAAAATTAAATGAATCACAAAGATTTACATGTTCAAATCTTATCTTTACTTTTCCTGTAAATTGTACTGAAAGTGATATTTCACTTGAAATTGAATTTGTCAATTCACCAAAATTCGATACATTTCAATTACCTGAATGTTTGTGTCTTTTTCGAACAAATTATGCTGACGAAAGTAAAACTAAATTCAATGAAATGGCCAATATTGAATATCGAAATGAAGGAAATGTTTATTTCTTCAATCAACAATTGGAGAACCATTTGTTATTCGTGATCATCCACTTTATTGTCGTTCTCTTCAAATTCGTAAACAAAATCCAAGTAAATATCCACGTATTGCTTATCATGGAACATCAATTGAAGTGATTCTTTCAATTCTCATGGATGGACTTGTCATGCCAAGTACTGTTGTATCAAATGGAAAACATGTTTGTCCTCCAACGAATCATATTCCACCCTCAAGAGACATCCGTATGATTTTGTAGCTTTGCCAAAGTGTCTGTAGAAATATTTAAATACATCGAACGATCCAGTTGAAAGGAGAAATAAAACAATGAAATCGACGTGGTATTTTGTTACAATAACGACTTCAGCGTCTCATGATGGAATCATCTGAAGTGTCAAAAAGTTTTTTGGCTCGGAATATAATGGTTAGTTAGGGCATATCTGCGTGTGATATATCCCAGGCTTTGCTCGTACACAAGTTTTTTCAAGCCACAAGCGATATTTACGGTTTCATCGTAAAATTAAAAGTTTGCTATATGAAAAAGTATTTAATCTTTAATTTTCTTACATATACACATACGTACATGGATCTCAAAAGTTTCTGATGATGCCTGGTGGTTCCTAAGAACCGCTTTTCCCCCATGACTAAGGGCGTCAAACGAGCTAAAGGAATATAGATATGTGAGTAGTTGAAGAAAGAGCGAAGAAAAGAAAAGTTACATCAGAATGACTAAATTCTTGTGGACCTACGGATTCCAAACATGTTGACTGATATATTTTACTAATCTTTGAATTTCTCATGAAACCTCTCTGGACGATGCCTCAATACTTACGTGAAAAAGCTGAGAATATTCTATGACGCGTGCAGTAGATTTTAGTGAAAACAGATCACAGATGAAGCACACATTAGTACCAAGTCATTGTGTAGATGCAAAAAAATTTTATTAAACAAGCAACGGGTGCGATATTAAATATCTGGAATACGCTTCCGCATCGCCAACAACCCAGTCATGTTTTCTATATTTATACTTTTTCAAGAGTCGTCCTAAAAAATAGCTTTCTACATAGAGATAGACATGATCTTTTGAAAATCGAGGAACAAGACGAAATTGATTTTGACCTTCTTTCATGTGTAATTTTTCAAGTCTATTGATGCAATCAAACGAAAAAACTATAGAGACACAAAGCAGTGCCATAGTCAGGTTATCGTTGTTCCTCAGTGGTGATGTTTGATCACATTTCGAACTTTCATTAGGGTAAATCCCAATCGATTTTCACCTGTTCCATCTCCAATATCACCCCAATAAGAATCTTTATTAGTATNTGTTTATGTCTTTTTCGAACAAATTATGCTGACGAAAGTAAAACTAAATTCAATGAAATGGCCAATATTGAATATCGAAATGAAGGAAATGTTCGTTTATATACTTGGATTGAATCTCAACCTTATTGGTTTTTAGATAAATCTAAACCTCGATATTTACCAACAATTGGTAGAATTCACGCATTCATTCGTCATGTTGAAATTGTTCCATCTTCATTAATTCTTCCACCTGATTTATTTCTTCAATCAACAATTGGAGAACCGTTTGTTATTCGTGATCATCCACTTTATTGTCGTTCTCTTCAAATTCGTAAACAAAATCCAAGTAAATATCCACGTATTGCTTATCATGGAACATCAATTGGAGTGATTCTTTCAATTCTCATGGATGGACTTGTCATGCCAAGTACTGTTGTATCAAGTGGAAAACGTGTTTGTCCTCCAACGAATCATATTCCACGAAAAGTAAAACATCATAATATTGAAGATTTTTCCAACGGAATCTTTGTTAGTCCAAGTATTTATTATTGTTCTGATCCAGCATATGCAGTGACATTTTCTGATGGTGATCAACGTGTTGTAGCTGTTTTAGAATGTTCTGTTAAGGATGGAAAATTCGATATTATTCCAAGTACAGTTTCAACATATAAACCTCATCCAACTGATGATCCGAAAAGTTTAGAATGGCGTTTTACAAATCCTGCAGATATTGAAATACTTTCTGTACTTTTTATTCCTCAAATTCGATCGAGAATTGCCGAAGCAAAATGTCGAGCGGCTAAACTCGGTGTAAATCCGAATGATCTTTAATAATTACAATGTAATAAAATGAAATTTTTCTGTACAAAATTCAATAAATGAAGAGAATCAATATTCGAACAAGTTTGAGCGATTAAACGAGCACAAAGACATTTCAATTGTTTTGCTTTTGATATTGGTCGAAGAATTGTTAAATAATCGAACGGAGTTTGATTTTTTTGATTAACACAATCGAGATGAGATCCTGATTTAATAAGAATTTCCAGAATTTCTTCATCGACAATACCTTGACAGGCAATATGAAGAGGTGTATCACCAAATTGATCTTTTCTGTTGATATCCAACCAAGAATTTCCATATGTTAAAAGTAATTTCAATGTAGATCGATTAGGAAAACGAATAATTGGCGTTGTATCAGATGGTCGAAATGTGAGATTCTTCGATGTTTTTCTATGTACACATAAATGTAACATTGTTTGTCCATAATTACACGTTGATTGTAATCGACAAAGATCGATAATCCAACGATAAATCAATTTTCGTTGTTTAAGATTCAAATCTTCTTGTTCGAGAATTCGATTTGCAATAACAACAAAGAACAAAGCATTGTTTACATCCGTTTCTCGAGATTGATTATAAGATGGTTGAAGTGCAAATGAAGCCGCTTGTAAAAATCTTTCGATTGATATTTTTTCTTGAGAAGAAATCATTCGACATAAAATCCAAATAAATAAAAATAAACTCGATTCACCTTGATCAATTTCAATAAAATATAAACAAACATCGAAGGTTTGTTCGAATTTTCCTGCTGAGATCAATCGTTTAGTATATTCTTCTAAAGCATCTTTGAAAATTGTACGTCGATTGGGTAAATAAAGACGTTCTTGAATTAATAAACATTCGATTAGAATTCGTTCGTGATCGTTTTCAATGTTTTTCAATTCTTCGATTGTTTGACATTCTTGATGATAATCAAAGATTGATCTTGGTGTGCGTAACACTTTTTTCAATCCGATGACTTGTCGTTGTTTCAAAGATATTTCTAAGAATGGCAAAAGTTTTTGAATCCTTTGAAAATTTGCTGAAAGATCTGAAATTCTCGAAGCGGTACAATCTTCAAGATCATCCGGAGAATAAAAAGATTCTTCGAGAAGAAACATCATAATGTCATACGCATGTCGATGAACAATCAATTTGAGAAGATCATTATCTTTTGACTTTGGACCAGCATTTGCCTTCCAAAGTACACGAAATACTTCCGATGCTTCACTGATCACTGCACATGTCAATGGTGTTTTAATTAAACGCGTTCTCGGATTGGTATAATGAACATCAGCACCGTGATTGATCAAATATTCAGCAATCGTTGAATGATTGTAATATGCTGCACACATTAAAGCTGTACGTTGTTCATTATTAGATGATCGAGTTTCATTTACATGAGAATAACGATTCTCTAGAAGAAAACGAACGATATCTAAACGATTTTCGATTGTTGCTTTTAATAATAATGGATATGATTGATCATCAAATGTATCTTCATCAAGAAGATTTTCATTAAATTCAATTAAATATTTTGCCAAATGAAAATGACCTTGAAAACATGAACAATAAAGAACATTTCCACCTTGGATTTGACGACTTCCGTTGAAAATTAAATTTCCTCGTTGTGCAATTTGTTCGTTTGCAGAAGGAAATTGTAAAAGATATTTCACAATTTGTTCATTTCCATGAAAACACGCCAACATTAATAAATTGAATTTATTATTTCCATGTTCAATTAAAGTCGTTAAATATTCAGTTGAATTGACTAATTTCTCAAAATGACTTTGGAATTCATCAAAGAGATTCTGTTCGACCAAAAGACATAAATTATTTAAATCTTGTTCATTAATTGACATTTCTTCAGTTGAATTCATCTTTATTTCTTGCAACAGAATAACAAATCTTACGCCTTTTATCTAAAGACTTTCATCATTTCTTATCAATTTCTCCAATCTACTTCCGATGAGTCAGTTTTATGCGATAAAATAATCTCATTTGACTTGTTTTTGACAAAGAAAAACTTCGAAATATTTATTTAAGAGAAGAGAATATTCGATAGAAATTGACACGTGTAAATTAATCAACACATTTGAAATAACGATGAGCTTTAGCCGAACCACATGTTAAATCCTTTATAAAGAAGAATAGTTAAGAAAAAAAGAAATGAAAGACGACATACAACTTGTTGTTGACCTTCATTATTGATATAACGAACAGCGAAAATTTCTTTTCCCTCTTTTCCTTTCATCGTATGTTCCATTTTATTGCCATTAATTCGAACAATTGCCTAAAAATATCCAAATTTAAAAAACAAAACCCCGAGGAAATCGAAATCGAACTTTAACTTCTCGTCCATCCATTGTTGTGTCATCAAATTCAACATTGGGTTGAAATTCAACAGTTTTTGTTGTTAATGTGCTTTCAGATCGAATTGTCCATTTTCCTCCATTTTCATTGATAATAAGACGAGGTTTCATACTCTTTACTGCCATACGTTTTGCCATTCCAATGTCAAGTTCTTTTAAAAATTCATCCATATTTTCATCTTTGATCTAAGAATGAAGAAAATTCATTTTGAAACAGATGAACAAGAAGAATTTTACGTGATCCCATGTTCCTTTCAATGCTTCGACACCTTTGCTTGTTGACATTTTGTTCACGAGAAAAATCTTTTTGAAGAAAACGACGAGAAAATGAACATTTATATAGAGGTTGATCGTCAAAGAAAAGTGCGAAGAAAGTACGTTCTGTAACGATGATCTTTGACAGGAAAAGAAAGAAAAAGTACGTTTGATGACATAGATGAAAGAACAAAAGTTATAAATAAATTTTCTCTTCTCATGATTATCATCAGATCACGTTCAATTCTTCTAGAAAAAGAAAAGAACTGACAGTGGATTTCTTTATTTTATTAATAGATAATACAAATACTGATGAAAAAGAGGCAAATAAAGAAATTCTTAAGTGAAAATCATTTTTTTTTTATTCACAATTCAAATCGAATCTTTGAATTCGATGATTTCCGTAATCAGCAACATAAAGATTTCCTTGAACATCGAACGATATATCCGTAGGTGAATGTAATTGATTTAAACATTCTGTTTGTCCATAATTTATTCCAACGATGATTTCACCATTCTTATCTCCTTCACGCCAACGCATAATTCGATCATTTCCACAATCTGCAATATAAATTTGATTCAAATCATCGACAAAGATTCCTTGAGGAGAATTCAATTGATTAAGACGATTTCCTTGACCATTTCCACCTGCAACAATAATTCCTTCCTGTGCGTCTTTTCTCCATTTCATCACTCGATGATTTTCACAATCTGAAATAAAGATTACTTGTTCATAATCAGCAAAACAAATGTACGTTGGTTCATTGAGTTGATTAAGTTGATTTCCTCTTCTATTTCCACCAGCAACCAATTTTCCTTCATTTTTTTTCTCCAATTTTCCATTTTCTTACTTCATGTTTCTCCACATCAGAAACATAGAGAAATCCTTCTGAATCAATTAAAAGACTCGAACATCCAACATTATCAATGAGAATTTCTTGTTGATTTTGATTTTTCCATTGAATTATTCTTCTATTTCCCATATCAGCAATGATCAACGAATGATTTTGTTTGTCAACAATCATATCTTTTGGATGATTCAATTGATCAATTCTTTTCCCTTGTTCATTTCCACCTGTAATTATGAAATATCAATTTAACACACAAGTAGAAAATGAAAATATTCTCATTGATTTTGAATTTTTTTCTCTCCTTTTGATTCGTCAGAAATACACATAGATATCAAATAATTTTTCATGTTTTATCGTCTGAGTCTCCTTTTAGTTGAGAATTAGTACATAATTAATAAATGTGGAAACGTCGGACTTCATTCAAAACTTATTGTGTAAACTGACGGAGGGATTCTATTATAGTACTCACTTTTTGAGTACACGACAAACGGTATTCATGTTTTATTTACACATTTACTCGAACTTGTGATGTCATTCGTACCTGCAAGAATTTGTCCTTGTTGATCGTTTTTGTTCCATTTCATAATTCGATGATTAGAAAAATCCACAACGAAAATATTTTGTTTCTTGTCAAGGAAAATTCCATGAGGATTTGAAAGTTGATTTAATTGCTTTCCATCTCCATTTCCTCCTGCTACAGTTTGTGCGTTTTGTTTCCATTTTTTCAAATCAGTTTCTTCAAAAAGAAAAAGAAATTTTCTTCGACAAAATGTCATTTTAACGTTCGATTTTGAGAATGTTTTTCTCGAAAAGATATTACCTCTTTTTCCTTGAAATAAACAAATATGATCGAGTCTTAGAGCCGAAGTCACATATGGAATTTGTTGTCCATTTGATTCAGTTGTCACATCATTTCCAACACGGCGTAGAAGTATTTCAATATCTTCATTTGGTGTTCGCAGATGTCTTAAAAGATGTTTTGTATATAAACCATTTTCTTCTTCATTATTTCCATCATCTGCTGTTGTTCCAGGTGCACAAGCAAATGCAATTAACGTCCCCGCCTTCTGCGAATCCATTGCTTTTAGTCCATGTGAACGTTCTAATAAAGTACCTCGTGTTGATTTTGTTAAATTTTCATTTCTTAGATGGTAAGTTCGACAACAATCCAAGAAAAATAATGTTACAAATGGTTCTCGATTTTCAATTTTATTGAGAAAACTTTGTGCATGAATTGCATATTTTGCTAAATCAGAACCGCATAAATCACCTTGATCTTCATTAAAATTATCACTTGGAATTAAATAATTTTGATTCTAAAAAAATATCATTTTTCGAAAGATCTCTTTTCATAATTTTACCTCCCATTGAAGTCCATGACCAGAAAAATAAAACAAAACCATATCTCCTTTCTTAATCGAATATTGAAAATCAAGTAAAATGTGTTCCATTTCTTGACATTTCAAGTCTAATTGTGCTTTTCCACCATGAATTTCAAATCCAAGTGTTTTTAATAAAGAAGACATTTGTTTCGCATCATTTTTCGTATTTTTCAGAGATTGTCCTCTGGCATAATCACCAATTCCAATAATCAGTGAGATTTTTCGTTGAGAATCTGTCGAAGAAATATTGTTTGTTGAATTGATCATTTGATCTAAAGCAAAATAAAAACACGATTTTATATTTGAATTTTATCACTTTTTCTGTTTTGGACACAAAAGAAAAGATAGTTTAGAAAACATAACATGTTGTCGCTCATTCTACATGAGTGAAATTCTTTTCTTCACGCCGTGTTTCATAGAGCATAAAAAAATCTTCAATGGAAAGAAGAAAAAAAAAGTGAAGAGTTGTATACGACAGAAATAACTATAGAAACACATAGACCATTCTGAGGATGAGGTTGTATTTCACTCAGATCACCCACCGACTACTTGTAACCCAATTAGACAAAAATTTGGAAAAACGCGTTTAAACACACAAAAGAGAACCGCGATTGTGAACTATTAACGTTCAGTTAAAACACGTTCGAACACGCGTTTACTGGGTTTTTTTCCAACGTAGAAGTGGTCTTTTAATATAGAATTCTAAAACAAGACGTTTTCACGCTAGAGAAAGGAAAATTCTGATGTTTAAACGCGTTTTTCCAAATTTTTGTCTGACTGGGAAGTCTCTATTATAGAAACTGCTACTAAAATTTCTACAATAATTTAAAATTTAGTGAATGATAATGGTGAAAATGAATGGAGATTACGAGAACGAATGTGAGTTGACGAATCTGGTTGGTCCACATGATAACACCTGAAAAATGAATTTGATTGGACAACTGACTTCTTATGTCTTTCATCTTTTCGGATAAGCAATTCTACTTCTTTTTTTTTTCTTTACAATCTTGACAAAGATTCGCTACACTGCGAAATACTCCTGGTGCCGATCATATTGATTATAGTTCTACTTGCAGTAGTGTTGGAAAATGAAGTGACTGCGATTTTCAAAGTGATACTGGTAAAGAGAGTCTTTATTAGTGTACAAAACAATTTTAAAAATTCACTCAAATATAATTAGTAATTTCAAAAAAGTGTTATGTCTAACATTATTTTCGAAATAAAATAGACAAAGCAACCTGCAACGTGTTCAACAAACTAAAGAGTTCGTTACTCCAATTGTCTCTCTGTTGAGCTGTTCTTTGATATACATTGCCATTGCACTTCATCTGTCTCATTATCTGGATGCTGATAATTAATTACGGTCTCTTTTATTACTTGATCAGTTGTTTCTTCTTCGACATTATGTAATAGAGTCCACTCTCCAAGACAACTTTCCACTCCCATCTGTCTCTGTGGTTTACCAAATTGTTGTGGTTGATCAAAACTACCTAGACATATATAAATCATCGATTCCTGTTTGGGTTGAGCTGCTAGAGGAGTACCACATCGAGCACAGAAAAGACGAACGGCAATCGATGAACTTTCAAATGAAGCAACAGAGCCTCGTGTCCATTGAAAGTCTGTTAAGTTAAAACCGACAAAAACGCCAAACGGTGAGCCGAGCGCTTTCTGACACATACGACAGTGACAGATACAAACAGAACGGGAAGGATCTGTAAATACAGAGTAACGAATTGAACCACATTGGCAACCGCCGGCATGAAGTGGTGTACGAGTAGCCATTTTGGGATTATAAACGAGGTTAGGCAAGAGAAAAAAAACAAAAGTTTACTCCGTTTCAACACATAGTGCAATAACTCACTTTCGTTTCTTTTATGTAAATACAAACGATGAAAGCAAAAAACAGAGTGGAAAGAATGATGCAAAGAGATAAGAACGCGAAAAAAAAATATGCAAAAATAATCGTATATAACCACTTTGAAAATGCAGAAAAAAAAGTATAGAAATGTAAAGGTTTCTGCTCCATCAGTTAAAAATAATCCACAGAGACAAGTAAATGCAAAAATGACTTATTGCTGAAGAAAAGAATATGATAAATCATGTCGTGAAGTGTAAGATGGTCGCTTTGATTATCACTGATCTTAACAGAACTTTAGCATTGTGGTGTATCCTTCTTGCTACAATTGATCAGTAAGAAGTGTTTACCAAAGTTATGTTATAAGAAAGTTTCCTGTTTTGACACCTGATCAATGTGCAATGATGTTATTCATATTGCTTTCCGTTATCCTTATCTTGTTCGCTATTTGTTTCATCTTTAATATCATGTGCTAATATTTTCATTAATTCACCTTTTCATATTCCTAAGTGGTTCGTGCTCGGTTGTCATACGATTTGGGAGTAATACTCGTGTTACTTCTCGAGCTATTCTGTTCGTTACCATAACAAGCACTCTGTTATATATGCGAACTCTTGGAATTTGGAGTTTATAAAACTAAGAGTCATGGCGTTAGACATTCAACCGTGAACTACACATTTATTAACAGTTGAACACAATCAGTTGGAAAAGCGAAAAGCATTGGATCAATAAACTATAATTCGAATGATGATCTTTCAATGTGTTTATTTCGGTATTTTATCAACACCTATTTTATTTATCCATATTTGATCTACACTAATTATTAAACATATTGGTAATTCCAAATCAGATTACTATAAATCAATTAACAAATCAATAGTAAATTACTCACACACTCAAACTTTCGAATAGTTTTGTTAATCTCTGAATAGAAAGTGAAACTTTCAACTTCTAAAATATTATGTTTTTATTGACAAATATTTGAATAATTTTTCCCTATTGTACTCTCGCATAAATAATCTAGAAAAAGCATTTATTGTTCTTTTGTAAAGGTATACAACATCGACCACGTGAAATTATATTATCAACTAACAAACAGTCGACATTTTTCTTTCTTGTCTGACATAACAGACGGTGTTTTTCTCTTGACCGAATTGAAGAATGGCAAATGATTCCACATTAAATAATGAAGAATTTCAATTGAAAAATTTGAATTCAACTTCTTTTGAATTCATTTCCGGTGAAGAAGCGATGGAAAAATTGAAAAACATGGATGATTTTCTTTCAAATTTCAGTCAATTTGATCTTAAATCTCGAACAAATTTATCTTCACCAACGTTAGAAGATTATTTTCAAGACATTTCTCAACATATTTTACTTTGGGACGATCAATCCATCACATCTGTTCGATCATCAATTAAATATTTGAATACAACATGTTTCAATCAACTAAAATATTTAATTTTTCCATCGAAAATCTTTTTGATATTAACAGATGGAAAAATTGAAAATAATGCGGCATATTGTCGTAATGGAAATGTTGTTGTATTTCCAAAAGAATTACTTTATTCAAAAGATATATTTATTCATGAATTATTTCATATTTGGAGTAAAACAAAAGAAAATTCAATTCTTCGTGATCGTTTGTATGAAATAATCGGATTTCATCAAATTCCTTCAGATAAATCAAGTCGATTTCCTCCACTTTTAAATGATTTGAAAATTACAAATCCAGATGCGCCTTTAGTTATGAAATATTATATTAATTTAAGAAAATCCGATGATTCAGATAAGAAAGTTTATAAATGTTCACCAATTTTATATTCTTGTCGATCATTTGATCAGAAATTTTCAACAAATTTCTTTGATTATTTAATTGCAACGACAATTATTCTTGATGATGAAACATTTCAACCCGTCGAACCTTTACAATTTTTATCTTATGAAAATACGAAAGATTTTTATAAACAAATTGGCCAAAATACACATTATATTATTCATCCAGAAGAAATTCTTGCCGATAATTTCGTTTTATGGATTAAATCAACTGAAAATCAACAACAAATAATAACACCAGAAATTATTTATCAAATTAATCAAATTATCTTGAATGTCAATTAATCAACATAAACTTTCTTCTTTTTTAATTATTAAAAGAATAAAAGTGAATTTGTGTTAGATGATCATTTTCTCTCTCGTTGAGAATTGTAAAATATTATTTTACTTGATACTTTACATTTTTTTGCTTATAATAAGATACAAAGCATAAGAGGAAAGATTAAAGATTTAGAAATAATAACATATTAGTTTACATCTCTATCACTCATATAAAACAATGTGTGTGTTTTCTCATCAAATCTTTTCATTGATTTAGTTATGATTCACACATTGACTTATCCGCTTGATTGTAATGAAAATCATATGAAACAGAGACTGACGGTACGGTACGGTATGCGGTATTAAAGCCTTATACCGCGTCTTCAAAATGAACAAAAATCCTCATACATCATTGTTTGGCGGTGACATTTATCTTTTTTGTTTATGGGATTAACATATAGATATACATAGTACTATGTAAATAAAGATAAGAATAGAAACAACAAGTATCAATTACCGTCCAACTCTTTCTTTTCGTCCTTTTAATACTATGTTTTAAATGGAAATTCATTTGCAATGGATGTCAATACAACCCAGGGTTACCAATTGTACCCCATTTGAACCTTTTGCACCTCAAAAAATTTTGTACCTTTGAGGTACGTTTTTTTGTACCCCATTTGCGGTTTTGAGTGAAATCTTTACTTTAGCGTATATTTTGATTGGTGACTTCGAAAAGCTCGATCATTTTCTCCAGATATCCAGTCTATCTTTCTGATCGATAGAGATATCGTGAATCAATCGCATTGGTTTACTCGTAACTGTTGAATCAGCTAACCACTGGTTATGTTAAGCCTTTCTCTCTTGTTTAACGATTCAAAACATGCGTTTGTATTATAGATTTCGACTCTCGAAGCAATGAATCTTTTTGGTTCCGCCCCATCAGATGTCGAAAACATCGAAGAAGTGACAAAGTTCTGGTGAAGATCAATATGAAGGGTCAACACCACCATTGGCAACGAAATTTTGAATCAATGCAATGCCATTCTCCCCTAAATGCACTTCATAGCGTTTTGCGGTACCACCTGGAACTATAAGAACATCATAGTCGTCGGTAAGCTGTGTGATATCAGCAGATATCACGTATGCCGTTCCTCTTTTGCGAAAGAGACTAGCAAGAGAAACAGCATTGATCTTGTTTGTTGTAAAAATAAAGACCCCCATCTGCAATAATAAAGATGAACATTTGAATCATAGTGATATCTATTGAATAACATGCATGGATTACATATTCCTCTTTCTACGTGGAAGATGATATTCTCGATCAGAAGAAATAAAGAAAAGCGTAATGTCAACAGTGCTAACATTTCTTTCATGAGATATCGTCACATTGACTACTGATGTCACGTAAGGTATAATCTTACAGACAGTTCAAATAGTTTTCTTATACTTCTTCCTATCGGCAGAGCTTTTTTACCTTTTCATGACGTTTTTCTACACCGTCGTCACTGTGGATGATATTATGCGAGAGAAGTAACTTTACAAAAATATACGTACACAAAGAATCTTGCACAATTTCAACCTTCTATGACGAAACAAAAAATATGAAAAGAAAGAATCATAATAGTTCGCACTGTAAGTAAGTGAAGAATTACTTATCTAGGCGACTTACACTCACCGCTGCATGTGGAAGTCAATTGTTTTTGTCGTCATCATTATGAAAAACCTTTATTCTCTTCCTTTTTTTTCAAAGACTCACTTTTGACCAATAAAACGTGCAATTGTAACGTTTGCGCGATGATGAATTAAGTTGTGTAACTCAGAAAACTCTAGAATAAGAATTCTATCTTATAAAAACAATTACTTAAATGTACACAATGTTGGCCTTGTTTCCGCTGTGTTGAACACTTCCATTTATGCTACTTTCTTGTTTTATATAAAAACAGAACCTTCATTATATCATCAGCGTACGCACGACACGCATAATCTTATTCATTTTCCTCTAAAATATGAATACAACAGCATTCGCGAATTCCTCACTTGACAACAATGTCGAAGATTATCGTATTGTTGCTCTCATATCGCTCATATTTGTAATCATTGCTGTAACGATCAGTACCTTCATCTTGATCTTAGTATGGATAACCAAACCTCGTCTGCATACAATCAACCATCTACTCATGTGTAACACTGCTTTCGCAACTATCTTCTATTGTGTAACAATGAAAATCAATTTTGCTTATGTTCTGTTTGGTCAGTGGAATATCAGTGATGTCAGTTGTCGATTTCGTGCATATTTTGCCTATAGTGGTGTTGCTGCAGTCATATACTCCTACCTTATTCAAGCGATTTCGAGATTTTTCTTTTCTGTGTTGTCCGCAAAATATCGTCGACTGACATCGTTCAAGACACACTATATTCTGATTGTTTGTCAATGGATTGTGGTATTTTTACTAACGTCACCTTCAGTTTTGACAAATGATATTCATTTTGTTCCGAATGTTTTCTGTTGGGTACCACTAGAACATATGATTCACATAGCATATACAGTATTTGCTTATTACATTTCACCAATTATGCCTGTGGTGATTATTTATGTTTATATCTATGTACAGGTTCGAAAAACGAGAGTGAATGCAACTGCTACATCACAAAACAGTCAAAAACGTGATCTGGACTTACTTCGTCGCGTCGTTATACTTCTTGGAATTTATTTAACAGGCGGAATCCCAACGCTATTATTTATGTTGACATCTGTTCGATTGATTTACATGATAAATTTAGTTAGTCCATCAGTATGCGTATGTATTGAGAAATTATGTACGATTTTACTCGATCGAGAGATATATCAAGTAATTAGAGCCAAGATCGCTCAAGCAGCACCTGTAACACCTTTTGGGACGGGCGTGATTTTAATAGGCAGTGAACCAAGACAAAGAAATGTGCGGCATGATATTTGAAAATCATGTTTTACCCAAACAACGTCAAAAGTCAATTTTTCTCTTACTGAAACATAAGAACTCTTCTGCCGATCATAAATTCATTTCGCTGCATTAGTCACGTTCCTTTTACATGATTTTTCACTTGTTGTAACTGTTTACTTATGGAAAATCCTTAATAATAGATGAGCATTTCAACGTTTCTCTATTATAAACACAACATGCTATTAGTAAAAACAGCTTCTTTTAGACGCACTTAAGAATAGTGGCAGTTTTAGTTAGTCATGGAAGAAAAAGATGTATTGAGAGTCGACAAGTAACATAATCTCTCCACCTACGTGCTCATATTTCATTCAATGTCGCTTCCAAAAATACGAGTGCATCGACAAAATGACAATCTTGCGGTCTTATTCCCAATGCTGGTAGACCTCGATAGATTGTGACATAATCCAACTGTGGATCACTTTTTTGTGCTATGCGCTGTTGCATCAAATAGTTATAAACTTCTTTAAACTTGCTTTCACCTATAACAGATCGATGGCATTTCTAAAAATAAATAAGTTAATTAAAAATCGAATTAAACAAGTCTGGGAATTCGTGATGCGTAATGTAGGATGTTTATATTCGGATGTAAACTTAGTTATTAATGAGAAAACATATAGATATACGCTATTTTCGTAATCATTCTTGTTAATAGTAAAATCAAGAGGAAGTTCATTGAGTGTTTTCTGGCATTTTGTCACAGGAATATCCGAACATGTTGCCAAATGTTCGAAATGGATAGTACGAAATGTAGTCACTCTCGGAGGTGATGCCGATCATTTTAGTCATGTTTACAAAGACAAGTACGAGAAAAAACTTCAACGGATTGTATCGATCACTGCATAAGAAACGTTACTGAGTTATGTTTGAAATAATGTTTTTGGGTGTGAATGAAATTCATCAATAAAATGTTTGGATATTTGTTGAGAGAACGAAAAATCATTGAATAAAATATCACGTCATATATGTACCCAAAAAGGCAAATACTGCTGTTTGAATCATACGCCTACTTCATGCTATCCTTGCTCTTTTACAGCTTCAATACAACTATTTATGACGACAAGATCGAAAAAGGTTATCTGTTAAAAAGAAAATCAACAATTGATTTCAAACATCCCTTTCAGTAGATACACTGAGCACAAGAAGATCACGAAGGCCGTGCATGTCACATAACATTTTTTTTTCTTCATTAACGCGAGTAATAAAATGTCGTATATCAAGATATTATTCACGAAAAGAAATTTCTCATAGTAATAAAATCTTTTCTCTCTCTCTCTCTCTCTCTCTCTCTCTCTTCCTCTCCTCTGTTCGCCTGTCGACTTTGTGTGTTTCATCACAAGAATTATAAATAGCACAAATAGTAATAATAAATCATAATTTCTAGTTGATATTTGCAATCGATAATCATGACTGAATCGATGACAAGCAGGTAATAACATGAACTCTTTATCTACAAAGTATATAGTCACTGAAGACTAGTAAAATGTCGAATTGAATGTCGAAAATAGGACTTCTATCTCTCATTCGTATCGAAACTTTGTAGAGTGTGGAAATCCAATGACATTTTATCGAGATTTTCCTAAGATGTTAGATTTTGTACATCTTCTGGAATGAATTTCGAGTGAAGAAATATCTTCTGGCTGGTTCGCATTTGAAGAAAAAAAGATATTGATGAAAACGTACGGAATTTCTGTGAGTTACTTTAGGGAAAGCTGCGAGCACATATTCAAATGTCGAATTTTGTAACTAGAATTCTAGTGAAAATACAATGTGTACTGTCAGGACGCGACTCAATAGAATATGGACGTTGTTCTCCGCTAAAGAGAAACGAAATATTTTATTATATATACTTGGCATTATGCTGTACAAGTTTGGTTTGGAAGCATTCAATGGAGCGATTGTGACACTAGCAACGAATCGTTATGATCAAGATGCTTATTTATCGGGAACACCATCACGAACATTTGAGAAGATCGGACTTCTGTCTGGTCTCAATCAAGTTTTTCAATGTGTTGGCTCTGTTCTTATTGCTCCATTGATTAAACAGTGGCCAACACGAACTGTACTCTCGGGTTCTATATTTGTGTTAAGTCCGTATAGTGTGGTAGAACTAGTTTATTTCAAAATAGTAAAGCAAGACCCCTTTCCATAAAAGACGAGAGCTATTTATATAGTATGCCACACACCTAGTTGGAATATACTAAATAGATTTCATCTAAGCTTGTAAAATTCCAAAGATATTATTACAAGGCAAGAAACCTAGATGAAGCTCTTTGGAAAATCCCTATTAGGATCGAGAATGAGTGATATCTATAGTAATCATATGTATATAAGAGAAGGAAGAGAACGAACATATGGAAAAGACCCTATGTCATGAGTTATCTTATGGTACGTCATATTACGTGCCATAACACCTCCCCCGAAGAACAAGATGAACTTCCACGTTCATCTCAAATAAAAACCAACTTGATTCCATAAATCAATGTTCCAGTATTGCCACTACCTTTGTCATTGCGTTGGAACCGAACAGAGAACAAAAAACAATTGGAGACTTGTATGTTATTGAAGTCCACTTTGTATTTATGTAATAATTAATTTAGTCATAAGATGCCAAGCCCTCACGACTATAAATAGCTTTTAAATCACTAATATGAACTTGTTTAATTGCTAATGATTGTGTATCTTGAATTGTATACGATGGATGCTTTTTGTTTATGATCTCGAAAGGACCAGAATATCTTTCAGTTAATTTACTACGATAACCAGGTATTTTCCATAACACTAAATCATGTATATTATATTTAGGATCCTTACGATTCTTGTCAAAACGTTGTTTTGATTGTTTCTGTTGAATATTTGTACGCTGTCGAGATGTTTCACCATAAAATTTCATACATTTCAATAATTTATACCAATAATCATTCGTTCGCTGTAAAGTAAACGTCGCAGATGTATGATCGAGTGGTAGATTAGGATTTCTTCCAAACATTAATTGAAATGGACTATATCCAGTGCTGTTTTGTATACCTGTATTGTAAGCATATATAATCGGAGCTAAATACTCATCCCAATTATTTAATTCAACATTATGAAGTTTGGCCAACTGAGGATGAAACGTACCATTGAACCTCTCTACTAACCCATTTCCTTGTGGATGGTATGCCGATGTGTGAATATGATGTGTTCCAAGTAATGTTGTTAACTTTTTCATCAATTCATTTTTAAAATGGACCCCTTGGTCTGTAATTAATCGTCGTGGAACACCATATTTGAAAACAAATTGCTCCACAAAGCATTGTGCTGCAGTTATAGCGGAATTATCAGGAAGAGGCTGAGCCACAACATACTTCGTGTAGTAGTCAGTTATTACCAACACATATTTGTTTCCATTGATCGAATACTCAGTAGTCGGTCCCCAAAAATCCATAGACACTATTTCCAAAGGACCTATTGGTGATTCAATAGGATTCAAATGACCTGATGGTTTGATTCGTGAAATATTAAATCTAGCACATTTATCACATGACTTGATGTATGTCTGGATATCTCGCTTCATACCACGCCAATAACACGTATTTTTCATTTTCAACCAAGTTCGATTAACACCAAAATGAGCAGCTGTTGGATGGTCGTGAAAACATTGAATAACTTCATCTTGCATGGTTGCCGGTATGTAAATTGCTTTACGTTTAGTCATTGAATGATTTGTTTGTACCAATTTATATAAGACATCATTCTCTACTAATAAACTCTGATCATTGATATCTCCTGATATCACCTGTTGTTTCATGCGAATCAACTGAGAATCATTAAGTTGTTCTTGACGAATGCGTTCTAAACTAAAATCAAATGTCATGGGATTTTTAATGATTGAATTGTTTGGAGTTGTTAATGGTTCATCATTATGCAACATGTTTGATCGAGCAGTTTTCGCCATTGATCGTGTAATAGCATTAAGTGAATGCGGTGGATTCACTACATCCGGTCTTGACATTCCATCGGCATCACCATGATTGGAACCCTTGCGATATTTTACTTCAGTTATTTGCGGAAGAATATCTTGATATTTGATTAACCATTCAGTTATGCGTTTGCTATTGATCTTGAATTTTAGATGGAATTGTTGTAAAGGTTTGTGATCCGAAATAATCATCACTTGTCTTCCACCTAAATAATTCTGTAGTTTCTCCATACACCAAAACATTGCCAACGCCTCACGCTCAATTGTTGGATAATTTCGTTCGGTTGCTGTCAACAACCTCGATAAAAAATAATTGTAATGAGTGTTTCCATTAACCACTTGTTTCAGCGTACCACCAATTGCATAATCAGACGCATCTGTTGACAATATAAATAGTGCAGTTGGATATGGATATTTCAAAAGAAGTGGTTCTTGTGTTAATAATTGTTTTAATTTGTTTACTGCTTGGATTTGTTCATCATGCCAATAAAACTCCTTCTTCTTTTGTTTCATTTTATTTGTGACTTTATGGATAGGTGCTGCAATTTTTGCAAAACCTGGGATAAATTTACGATACCATCCGATTTTTCCAATGAACTTATTTGCTTGAGCCAACGAAGTTGGTTGAGGCATCTCAAGAATAGCTTGAACACGCTCTTTGGATGGCACAATTGAGTCTTTTGTAATAGTATGACTCAAAAAGTCAATACTTTGTTTAGCCAACGAGCATTTGCTTGGATTTAATGTGAACCGGTGATCACTCAATACCGCGAACAATTCTCGAAGATGATCCATGTGCTCCTCAAATGATTTAGAAAATATCAATATATCATCGAGATATACTAACACATAATCCCAACGATTATATCCAATAATATTATTCATCATCCGCTGGAAGGTCGGAGGAGCATTCATCAGGCCCATAGGCAGTACTTCAAATTGATACAAACCATCTTGTGTTACAAATGCTGTTTTTTCTTTGTCCGATTGTTGAATTGGTATTTGATAATATCCAGACTTTAAGTCTAATTTTGTAAACCACGAATGTCCACCTAATCGTTGCAGCAATTCCTCAACAGTAGGTTGCGGATACGAATCTTTCTTAGTAATAGCATTGAGACGACGATAGTCGATGATGAACCTAAATTCACCATTAGGTTTTTTTAATAAAACTACCGGTGACGACCATGGAGATGTTGATGGTATAATAATGCCAGCTTTCAGCATTTTGTCGATCTCTTGTTGAATATTTTTCCTTTGTTCCATCGATTTAAAATAAGGTTTAGCATTTACTGGAGGATGGTCACCTGTATTGATCACATGATGTACAGTAGTTTTGATGGTTCGCGGTTGAGTTGTGTCAAACAGCAACTTATGCTGTTGTAAAAGATTCCCTAGTTGCAGCTGATCATTTCCTTCTAAATGTTGTACCATTCTATCAGCAATTTCACACACATCACCAACTGACTTTTGCTTTCCAGAAATCACCACTGTTCCATCAACATTAGTATTCAGTATCAAATTTGAACAGTATGTATCCGCTGCCAATTGATCAATTGTTCCGACGAGCATAGATTTTGGCAAATTGACCATTCTTGTCGTTGGATTGTAAACGGTCAATTGAGCAAGATTGTTCCTGATGTCCACGAATCCATCACAAAGGCGAATTCGTTTATGTCGTTGAGTTTTCTCACTCACAACATTCATTAACATTTTATTACCATTTGTAATTCCTTCAATCATGACATCCACTATCGTGTGACGTTTCGGTAAAAGACAACATTGTGTTGTCAATCTAACCGAATTTACCTTCTCAAATTTAACGTGCAATCGGTGTTTGGAGTGATAAAGAACAATATAGTTTTGCATAATCTTTATTTCTACTTTATATTTGCGCATAAAATCCATGCCTAAAATCAAATCAGTTGTCAAATGATCAACAACCCGAGCTCGTATTCCAAAATCTAGATTATTGATGTTCAGATTTAAATAAATCCACCCATATTGAACTATTTTCGTTTTTGAATCACCCAACATAATTTCACCTATGTCTTTATGAATATGATCTTGATAACCTAATTGGCGAATAACAGACATAGTAATCAATGACGACGTGGCTCCCGTATCAAGCATAGTAGATATTTTCTTACTCTGGATCCATGTTGGTATAAAAATAAGAGATGGTTGTTGTGGAAAGACGGGAGTCATACCATCATTGGCTCCCGCTAAAAGTTTTTTGAATAACAATCACGAGCGATATGGCCTAGTTTATTACATCGAAAGCATCGCAATTGTTTTGAGAAACCACGTCCTTTGCGTTGTTGCGGTTGGTGTTGATATTGGTACTGTGGTTGGTGTTGATATTGTTGTTCGTGTTGCTGTTGTTGGTATTGATATTGTTGTTCTTGTTGCTGTTGTTGGTATTGATACTGTTGTTCTTGTTGTGGTTGGTGGTGTGACTGAACCTTTGCCATTGCTGAAAACGAATCAATATCCGATATTTGTAAACTATCCATCTGTAAGTTTATTGATGAATCTAATTTTTCTTCCGTTTGTGCTATTTCCAAAAATTGTTCCGGAGAATTCGGCTCTCTTCGCATTACTTCTTTTTTTAATGAAGCTTTGACTCCTGCTTTTAAATATGCAACTTTGTACTGATCAGTCATTTTTGTATCAATTGTATCAAACAATTCCATCATATCATTATAATAATGTAAAACGGTTTCATTCATTCCTTGGTCACGAGTACCCACTTTGCGCAATGCTAACTCTCGATGTAACGGTAGTGAAAATGTTTGACGGATCTGACGAACAAAATCATTCCAATTAACTAACTCTTCCAAATGATTGATAAGCCAACGCCGCGCATCATCCACGAGAAACGTTTGAATAACCGAAAGTTTTTGTGGATCATCCAATTTGAGTAAATTCAATTCATTTGTAATATCAGTCAACCATTTGTGAATATTTTCTGTATTTTTTCCACCAAATTTCGGTAGTTTATCAAAATTAGTTGATAATATAGTATTTACCAATTTTTCCGTCATGACAAATGATAAAGGACGATTTTCAATATTTTCTGCTTGTTGTAAATTCTTCGCTTCCTCAATTCTTATATCACCTACGGGTTCAATTTGATCTTCACTTTTGACGAGAGCCGTTTGTTTTTGTGCTCTTGTTTTTACCATATACTATTGAGACCGGCCAGTGCACCAGTTGTTAAGTCCGTATAGTGTGGTAGAACTAGTTTATTTCAAAATAGTAAAGCAAGACCCCTTTCCATAAAAGACGAGAGCTATTTATATAGTATGCCACACACCTAGTTGGAATATACTAAATAGATTTCATCTAAGCTTGTAAAATTCCAAAGATATTATTACAAGGCAAGAAACCTAGATGAAGCTCTTTGGAAAATCCCTATTAGGATCGAGAATGAGTNTATGAAGAGGTGTATTACCAAATTGATCTTTTCTGTTGATATTTAACCAAGAATTTCCATATGTTAAAAGTAATTTCAATGTAGATCGATTAGGAAAACAAATAATTGAAGTTGTATCAGATGATCAAAATGTAAGATTCTTCGATGTTTTTCTATTTACACATAAATGTAACATTGTTTATCCATAATTACACGTTGATTGTAATCGACAAAGATCGATAATCCAACGATAAATCAATTTTCGTTGTTTAAGATTCAAATCTTTTTGTTCGAGAATTCGATTTGCAATAATAACAAAGAACAAAGCATTCTTTACATCCGTTTCTCGAGATTGATTATAAAATGGTTGAAGTGCAAATGAAGCAGCTTGTAAAAATCTTTCAATTGAGATTTTTTGTTGAGAAGAAATCATTCGACATAAAATCCAAATAAATAAAAATAAACTCGATTCACCTTGATTAATTTCAATAAAATATAAACAAACATCGAAGGTTTGTTCGAATTTTCCTGCTGAGATCAATCGTTTAGTATATTCTTCTAATGCATCTTTGAAAATTGTACGTCGATTGGGTAAATAAAGACGTTCTTGAATTAATAAACATTCAATTAGAATTCGTTCGTGATCGTTTTCAATTCTTGATGATAATCAAAGATTAATCTTGGTGTACGTAACACTTTTTTCAATCCAATAACTTGTCGTTGTTTCAAGGATATTTCTGAGAATGGCAAAAGTTTTTGAATCCTTTGAAAATTTGATGAAAGATCTGAAATTCTCGAAACGATACAATTTTCAAGATCATCCGGAGAATAAAAAGATTCTTCAAAAAGAAATATCATAATGTCATATGCATGTTGATGAACAATCAATTTGAGAAGATCATTATCTTTTGACTTTGGACCAGCATTTGCCTTCCAAAGTAAACGAAATACTTCCGTTGCTTCATTGATCACTGCACATATCAATGATGTTTTACTTAAAAGCATTCTCGGATTGATATAATGAACATCAGCACCATGATTGATCAAATATTCAGCAATCGTTGAATGATTGTAATATGCTGCACACATTAAAGCTGTACGTTGTTCATCATTAGATGATCGAGTTTCATTTACATGAGAATAATGATTCTCTAGAAGAAAACGAACGATATCTAAACGATTTTCAATTGTTGCTTTTAATAATAATGGATATGATTGATGATCAAATGTATTTTCATCAAGAAGATTTTTATTAAATTCAATTAAATATTTTGCCAAATGAAAATGACCTTGAAAACATGAACAATAAAGAACATTTCCATCTTGGATTTGACGACCTCTGTTGAAAATTAAATTTCCTCGTTGTACAATTTGTTCGTTTGCAGAAGGAAATTGTAAAAGATATTTCACAATTTGTTCATTTCCATGAAAACATTCCAACATTAATAAATTGAATTTATAATTTCCATGTTCAATTAAAGTCGTTAAATATTCAGTTGAATTGATTAATTTCTCAAAATAATTTTGAAATTCATCAAAGAAATTCTGTTCGACAAAAATACATAAATTATTTAAATCTTGTTCATTAATTGACATTTCTTCAGTTGAATTCATCTTTATTTCTTGCAACAGAATAACAAATCTTACACATTTTATATAAAGACTTTCATCATTTGTTATAAATTTCTTGAATCTACTTCCGATGAGTCAGTTTTATGCGATAAAATAATCTCATTTGACTTGTTTCTGACAAAGAAAAGTTTGAAATATTTATTTAAGAGAAGAGAATATTCGATAGAAATTGACATATATAAATTAATGAACACATTTGAAATAACGATGAGCTTTAGCCGAACCACATGTTAAATCCTTTATAAAGAAGAATAGTTAAGAAAAAAAAAAAGAAATGAAAGATGACATACAAGTTGTGTTTGACCTTCNACCGACAAAAGCGCCAAATGGTGAGCCGAGCGCTTTCTGACACATACGACAGTGACAGATACAAACAGAACGGGAAGGATGTGTAAATACAGAGTAACGAATTGACCCACATTGACAACCGCCGGCATGAAGTGGTGTGCGAGTATCCATTTTGGGATTATAAACGAGGTCAAGCAAGTGAAAAAAAACAAGGTTTATTCCGTTTCAACACATCGTGCAATAACTCAGTTTCGTTTCTTTTATGTAAACACAAACGATGAAAACAAAAAACAGAGTGAAAAGAATGATGCAAAGAGATAAGAACGCGAAAAAAAATATGCAAAAATAATCGTATATAACCACTTTGAAAATGCAGAAAAAAAAGTATAGAAATGTAAAGGTTTCTGTTCCATCAATTAAAAATAATCCACGCAGACAAGTAAATGCAAAAATGACTTATTGTTGAAGAAAAAAATATGATAAATCATGTCGTAAAGTGTAAGATGGTCGCCTTGATTATCACTGATCTTAACAGAACTTTAACATTGTGGTGTATCCTTCTTGCTACAATTGATCAGCAAGAAGTGTTTACCAAAGTTATGTTATAAGAAAGTTTCCTGTTTTGACACCTGATAAATGTGCAATGATGTTATTCATGTTGCTTTCCGTTATCTTTGTCTTGTTCGCTATTTGTTTCATTTTTAATATTATTTGCTAATATTTTCATTAATTCACCTTTTCAGATTCCTAAGTGGTTCGTGATCGATTGTCATACGATGTTGGAGTAACACTCGTGTTACTTCTCGAGCTATTCTGTTCATTACCATAACAATTACCCTTTGTTATATTTGCGAACTCTTGGAATTTGGAGTTTATAAAACTAAGAGTCATGGCGTTAGACACTCAACCGTGAACTACACATTTATTAACAGTTGAACAAAATGAGTTGGCAATGCGAAAAGCATTGGATCAACAAACTATAATTCGAATGATGATCTTTCAATGTGTTTATTTCGGTATTTTATCAACATCTATTTTATTTATCTATATTTGATCTACACTGATTATTAACACATTGATAATTCCAAATCAGATTACTATAAATCAATTAACAAATCAATAGTAAATTACTCACACACTCCAACTTTCGAATAGTTTTGTTAATCTCTGAATAGAAAGTGAAACTTCCAACTTCTAAAATATCATGTTTTTATTGACAAATATTTGAATAATTTTTCCCTACTGTACTCTCTCATAAATAATCTACAAAAAAAAACATCTATTTTTCTTTTGTAAAGGTATGCAACATCGACCACGTGAAATTATACTATCGACTAACAAAAGAGTCGACACTTTTCTTTCTTGTCTGACATAACAGACGGTGATTTTTTCTTGACCGAATTGAAGAATGGCAAATGATTCCACATTAAATAATGAAGAATTTCAATTGAAAAATTTGAATTCAACTTCTTTTGAATTCATTTCCGGTGAAGAAGCGATGGGAAAATTGAAAAACATGGATGATTTTCTTTCAAATTTCAGTCAATTTGATCTTAAATCTCGAACAAATTTATCTTCACCGACGTTAGAAGATTATTTTCAAGACATTTCTCAACATATTTTACAGTGGGA